TTGAGTGGCTTCCGGGTCTTGTATAGGGTGAATATCATTGTAATATATATAATTAGCTGAATCTTGAGGAATGTATTTTTCTGAATAAACAGTTCGAAGCCATATTATTTCTATACATCCATTTGTTATATATAGCTTCCAGCACGACTACTTCTGTTGATAACACGTGCATACTACTGCTTATAATACTTCGAGATATGAATAATATTGTTATGTTTCTAATTTTATTCGTTACGCCGGTAAAGACCGAAGAAACAATGGCGACTTCTACGTAATGGTATGAATTTGTTCACATGAAACAGCAATCCTTTTTTGCATAAGAAAAAAATTAGAGATAATTAAAAAAAAGTGTCTTCCCCCACAATTAATTATTACTTACTAATATTTGATTAGTAACCCAGAGATGGGTAAGGTACATTTAATGTATATTTTGTTTGCGCAAACTGTCCGATAAGATAAAAAAAGATTGTTAGAAAATCAATTTCAAGAAAATCTTTATTACCCCCCCCCCGAATCTCTGTTTGATAAAAAAAAAAAACCCTGTACATTTTCTCGTGTCTTTACATCTTGTCATATGATCAGGTTTTTCTTTTCCATGCTTTTTGCTAGGGTTACTGTGAAAAGCCTACTGAATTTGACTTGTGGCTGGTTTTCTGTGTATGTAACGTGATGTAATTTTTAATTGGCACTTGAAACTTTGTCGATCCTGTCAAAAACATCTTTTCGACAGTGCCAGATTTCAGTTGTCTAGCCTGAGTTGTTCAACAAGGAAAACTATCAATTTCAGTATATATCCATTTCCATTTCTGCCTTGTAAAAGTTAAGCAACTTCGTGTATGATCATTTCAGCATAAGGTGATATTCTGTGATGTCCACAGAAGAGTGTACATGGCTTTGATGACCACTGAGGGCCAAGAGCCCGAAAATATCTTTACTGTCAGTCGGATTAAATCTTTATTGATAACAATAATTTTAACTCGTAATTAATTTTTAGTTGCTATTTATCGCAATAAAACTGACTGAGAATGCTTCATCTAAGATTAAATAAAAGATAATACTTTTACTAGTAGTGTAAAAGAAAAATGTCCTTAGTGAGATAATGCAATGTAGTAAAATTTAGATTTGATCTTCTGTAAGCCGTCAAGTTTTTAATCAATAAACCTTAAGTAGTGATAAGGATGAAATACGTGTAAAAATTTATAATGATGGTTAACAATGCTTCAACTAATAAGAAAATTAAAATATGAGTAAGTACTTATAAAAAATGAATAATTGTTGACAATGCATCATCTAATAATAGAATAAAAATTAAGATGAAAATAATTACTAGTCAAAAATCAACAATAATGGTTGAAATTGCTTAATGTAATAATAAAAGCAAAGTAATATTCTGGATTAAGTTAGTTCCTGAAACCAGACTTCGTTGCTAGCCAGAAATTCCCTTTCAAATCATCGCAGCTTTAAGTACTTTTCTTAAGAAACAATGGGAAATTTTTAGAACGAAGATAAAAGATATTTTGGTTATTAGCCAAATTTACAAGTTTGGTTCTCGTGATTATTGGCGGTTATGTAAGAGTGTGCTGAATAAGTAAATACTCAATCTTCCTTCTCTTCAATCATTTTGATGTATTGTCATTTATTGCTGATAAAGCAAAATGCTTTGTTCGAAAATTTGCTTCCAACTCCAATCTCGACTCATTAGGAGTATCTTTACCTGATTTTCCCACCTAAAACAGAATCTCTGAATGATATGCGTATAATTCCGTTCATAGTTTCTGCCATCATCTCCAAATTAGATTTCTACAACACATGCGAACTTGACGGTATTTCCACAATTGTCCTAACGGAAGGTACTTCTCAGCTGGCTCATTTTTTCTCCAAACTCCCTAACAAATATTTTGTTTTCCAGCTTCTTGAAAATCATTTACTGTAGTTCCTAACTTTAAGAACACTGACTCTTCGAATTATCATCCTATTAGTCTTTTATCTCTTTTTAGCAAAGTAAGCGAGGTTCTAATCAACTCACGTATCTCACTACGCACTGTCGTCTTTCAAATAAACAATATGGCTTTCGCTGATGTGTTGACGCTTATTACTGAATGGTTCTCAAACTTTAGATAAAACGACACGGCGAAATATTTCGAAGTTTTAACAGTTTCACATGCTGAACTTCGATGGCTATAATTTCTCTGGTCGAATATTCGACTCTATACAGTTTTTCTTAACAGATCGTGTAAATCAGTCGTGTTGAATTCTAGATTCTTTCATATTATTTCGGGGGTGCCTCCAGCCTCTATCCTTGAACCTACGTTGTTTCTTATCTTCATCAACGACTTTCTCCGATGTCATCAGTTCCAAACTCGGTGTTTTATACTGATGACACAATTATTCACTCATGTCGTAATAGTAAGTTTGATAGGTTTAATAAACTAAAACTGGCAGCTGATATTCAATCTGTTGTTAACCGGGGCAAGAAGTGACTTCTAAATTTTAACGCCTTCACTACAAAATTATCTTTTAGTCATTATAGAGTACCATTTTTACCTTTCATTATGTCTGATGCTAATCTCCAGGAGAGCAACTCACTGCACCTTCGTAGTCTCATGTTTTTCACTGACATGAAGTGGAATGATTATATCGAATCAATTGCTACATCTACTGCAAGGAAAGTTGATTCATTGTGTCGTGTCAGAAAATTCTTTTCGTCAGAATTCTTTTTGCCCGTTTATAAATCTACCATTCGTCTATGCATTGAATATTTCTGTCATATTTTGTCTGGTGCCCCTGTTATATATCTCGATGTCCTCGATAAAATTCAAAGAAGGGTCTGTAATGTTATCAGTCCTGACCTGGCATCATGACTTCAGTCACTTTCCCACCGCGCCGTAGCGGGGCTTCCCTGTCTTTTCTAGAAATATTTTCATAACAATTCTTTTATCACGACCACATGAATTTAAGCGTCAATCTAGATTGGCAAATAAGTTTCATCGTTTTACTGTTGAAATAGCCCGTAGGTTCTATTCTAATAATTTCTTCTCTCGCATGAAGTCTGGAAATCTCTTCTGGTTTCTTGCTTCGTTATCATCTACGACCTCTAAAAATTTAAATGCGACATCAATGTTTATCTTCTGTCTTCTTGAATTCAGTTCTTTTATGTTCATTCCTCCTCACTTTATTACACTCTCAATAAACTCTTGGATTTTAGGAGCATTATTGTCTTGCTTGGGGTGAAATTATTAAAAAAAATGAGAAAACAAAGAATATATTCTTTTAAACTGACTTTTTCATAATAACTGTATTTTAGTTTCAACTTTATTTTCCAGTTGCTATTCATTTCTCATGTGAAAATACACTTTCAAGTGTTCAAGATGTGAATATGTATATACTAAACTGTGTTGTTATTTGAGGGGCAACCAAAAGAAATATACGTATTCACACACACATATACACACACGTATATGTCAAATATATAATTCATTTTTTTATTATAAGTACACCACGCATGTTCGTTAACTTTTGTTGACCCATCCGCGCACACACACACACACACACACACACACACACACACACACACACACACACACACACACACACACACACACACACACACACACGGCTAGTTGGAAAATAATAACAATAAATAGAGAAATTAAATCTATGATTCAATAAAAGAAAAAAAAAGTAGATAAATTTTGGGTGAAGTGTTTGACGTTAATAGATGCCGGCATTTGAAAGGTTTGATAGAGAACGCCAAAAGATCAGCATGAGTTTAGATTAATCAGAGCAGAACTTTGAAGCCATTAGAAATTGATTCAAGACAGTGAAATTGATTCAAAGCTTCTGGAAACGAGAAAATCCAGATTTCACATTAGAGTAGACCTGTTGGAAAAAAGTCATCAATAAATGCATAGCACCAGAGAAATTCCAATTAAAATGTTCATTTAGAATTTGGATTTGTGCACGAAACATTTTTTTTTTCAGGGGAGGAGGAATTTGTTGCTATGTCATCATGAACAATACTCATCACTCATTTTATACATCACCGGTAGAAAAAATAATTTCAATGCAAATATATATATATATATATATATATATATATATATATATATAAAATATCAGTTATTTAGAAGAATTTAATTTTTTAATTTTTTGTTGTCATTTCGTTTGTTGTAGAATTTTTTCTTTTCAGTTGAATTCGAAATGTAGTTATGTACTTTTCATTTCAACTGTAAAGCTCTGAATTTATATACAATTTTAATTCGTATTTGATGAAATAAATATTAAAATGATTTTTATTACGAAGAGAGAAAAGCAAACATCACGTCGCTTATCCAGAGTGTCGTGAAAGACGGAAACAAAGAAATCTATTTCGATGTGAAATTGAAAAGAAATTTTCATTTATTAAGTAACGTGAAAACAATAAAAATTTACAATACAAGTTTGCACAAAATTTTCCTTGTGCGTCTTACAATTAGGCAAGATAACAAGTTCTAAAAATAATTACATTTTTTTAAAGATATACACTTTCATATAGTCAACAGCCAAAAATCTTTACGGATATTTAATTTCACAAATGTCATTGGGTAATTTTAACAATAGTTCTGTTTTTAAAAATTAGCTACAATATCGTGATAAATCTTGCTTTTATATAAAAGTTCAAATCAGAGTTAATCTAATTTCGTGATTTTTTATTTTCTGTTTCTTTTCACACCTTTCGTTGGTAACTTTTATTTTTTTTCTTTCACAAACAGTTTGAAAGCAGTTTTACAAACATTTTGTGAAGAAAAAAAAAAACGTTTTTTTAAACGTGGAATCGAAAATCTTCCTGTATGTTGGACTGAAGTTGTTGAAAATAAAGTCGAATTCATTTTTGATAAATAATATTTAAATAAATTTAACTTACAATTTTTAATACTTTCTGTACACTTGAATATACTGTAATTTATATTTGTGGATATTTGTATAATTTACTCGTACGTAAATGTCATTTTCTTATGGGCTTACGGCCATATCAAGTTGAAACGCCTGTTCTCGAACGATCACCGAAGTTAAGCAACGTGGAGCCTGGTTAGTATCTCGATGGTGACCGCTTGGGAATACCAGGTGATGTAAGCTTGTATGTGCGGGTAGTGTAATGGATAACGACTCAGAATTGCAAATCGGAATGCCGTGTTTCAATTCCAGTTGGGTTCGTTATATTCGCTTACACGCAAATACCATTGGGGAAGGCATGGATCCACCTTTTCCCCTCCAGCTATGGCTTAATTAGTAGCAGTTCTATCAGTAAATCATTATTATCTTCAAAAAGTTCTTACAGACTAAAACCTTTAAATGACCTGAAAATCTTTAAGACGTAAAAACAAATCAATCAAGAAATTATGGCTATTATGTAAGTTCTTTTGAATTCATGCAGGAAATAATTGTAATGTTGAATTATTTTATTGAAGTTTACTTTTACAAAAAAATTTCAAACAGTTGTCTTGTTTTAAATTAAAATAGAATAAAATGATAAATTTATTTTTTATTGTTTGACGTGAATTTAATGAATCAATTTAATTTGAAAAAGAAACGCAAAATAAAAAAGACATGCGTTGGTGTAATCCCTTCTTTCTTCTAATGATGTACGAATTAAGACAGATTCATTTGTCAATTTTATAAATCCGTTTGCTTTTAACGTTCTACAAATGTATAAAAAACAAACAGGAAACGTTTCATATTATAGGAACATGTTTTAATAAAAACGAAAGAAGTATTTTCTTTTCATTTGTTTTAGTTATCATTTTTGGTTCACGTCGGAAATAGCGTATATTTGGATCCAGTAAGTATTGATACATTCAACTATTCTAAGATCATTTTCAAGATCCAGTTTTTATGTGGACATTTCGTCTTTCCCATTTTCAAATAATTGTTTAAACTCTGCATGACTATTATACTTATGGTGCTAGCGAGATGGAAAAGACGACACGTCCATTTTGAAAAATAAATTGATAAATTATTGAAAAATTTGTCATGAAATCGATTGTCATTATTCTGATGCTTTTCTAGTTGAACACCGTCTCTTCAATAGCAAAAAAATCAAAAGAATCTATTGACAGTTTTTAGTTGACATTACTATCATTTGAATGATAACAATTCAGTTAGTTTTAAAAATATCGTTACGCGTTTACTTAGTCATTTTCATTCTTCTTCATTGACTTTCTGCCAGGAAGAAGTATTGTCTTCTTTACCCGAGAGAATTGGAAGCATCATGAAAATGATTCTTATGAATAAAATATTAACATCTATTAGCTAATTAGGAAAAGCGCTCATGATAAGTTTAAAGAACCACAATCACAACGTCAATCTTAGAGTATTCTTTCTGTCCTTGTAAAATCTGAACTAGTCTTTCTTTACAATGTGATATTCAGTATTTATCGGTCACGTAGACTGATCACTTCTATTTACTAATGAGATATTTTCTGCTATAATATTCTCATTCAATGCTATGCCAATAAGTGTAAATGCCTCGTATTACCAGAACAAGCGAATATCTCATTTCCAGTAGCTTGCTCATATATTTGAATTCTGTTACATGCTTGCCTTTTTTTTGGATATTTTTACTTTTAATTAAATAAGTGAAAATGCAGAATTCTTTCTTATATGTGTCAATAGAGCGAATTGTATAGATAGATAATTCTTACATAACTTACGCAGAAAATATAAACATTGCAAAATTTTACTTGAATATGATAATTTTTTCGATGGTATGAACAATGTTCTCTTCAAACAATTTTAATGATTTAAAATTAAAACTCTTCACACACACGGTAAATATTATTAAGGACAAAACATTTTGTGTCGATTAATTTTACTGATTGATTTTTCTAAATTATGAATAATCCTTCCCAGGAAATTCCATTAGAAATCCCTTGCCCACCGCCGTAAGGTTACGTCCCTGTGTCTTTTCTATAAATAATTTCATAGTAATTTTTCGGATGAACCCTTCGCCATGGTACCCAGACTGCATGAATTTAAGCGCAATACTAGACTGGCATCGGGATCTCATCAATTTACAGTTGAAGTAGCTAGACATAACCGTAAGTTCTATGTTAACAGTTTCTTCTATCGATTGTGGAATTCCCTTCCGAACCTATGCTTTCCAGCCAATTTTGATCTTGAAAAATTTAAATGCAAGATCAATCTACTGTCCTCCTGATTACTTTTATTTTGTTTTCGCTCCTTAGTAATGTTTCTGTTTATTAATTCTTCTCCACCTAGTAACCTCTTGTATCTTAGTGGCTTTTATATATATATATATATATATATATATATATATATATATATATATATATATATATAAGTGACAGTATATAGATAAAATTCGAGATTATCCGTACAGAAAAGATAAATAATGCAATTATAAAATTATTTAAATATGCCGCCATTTTTTAATTTGATGATAACTAGTTGCAGTATAAATATGAACATCTCACATTTTCGACTTTTTTAATGATTCTTTTTGGTTTATTTAGGGAAAGTTTGTACTGAAAAAAATCGGTATTTGAAAGTGTTGTTTATTTTTCTTCTGTGTAATGGCGTTATAGACTCACACGTAGCCGACATTTTCTGTGAAGTTCTTGTAATTAATACTTGCTTGTCGAATTTGATCATGTTTCTTCTCCTACTTGTGTCTAACTACAGTATAACATAAACAAACGTCATTATGTCTAGAGCAATGTCTTTTTCAGCAAACCCCAGAAAAAAAACGTATATATATATCAAAATAACACTGTTGGAAATTAGAGCAAACTTAGATAGTAATAGCAGACACGTGTTTGTCTTGGCACCAAAACTGATCCATAAGAACCAGACAGAAAAATATTGAGTGAATGGAATTTTCATTTTTTGCCAGGTATTGGCCATCCCAATTCGGATTGTCTTGTAATGTGATCTGTTTTCCCAGAAACAATACTCAGACAATATTCTTTGAATCGATTTGCAACCATCAATACTGAATATTGAAATTTGACAGCACCTTTTAAATATCACAATAGCCATAATACTCTGGGGAGATTTAATATGTAAAATCTCCTTTTGAATGAAAATCTATTTATATCACAACGGTATTAATATATTTTAACGTTACAAATTTGGAGTCTTCTTCCCTTGAATCAGTTTTAATCTATCTGCATGTCAAGGCATGAGAAATGCGTTACCCGGTAGTCTGGCATGAAGTACAAAAATTAAGTTACACTTCCAGTTGGGAATAAATTCATCAGAACAACTACATGTATAGTCGATCTTTCCATTTTCTTCACGTCTATTATGACCGAAGCTAAATCCCTGATGCAATTACACTCAGGTCAATTTACTAAGACCTTAATTCACTTCTTTCATATCTGCTAATGTGTGTCTGTTAAATTGTCTGAACAAACTACTGTTGTATTCAAGTTCTTTAGATATGTAAATAAAGTGTTTTCTCTTTAACGTATACACGTGTACTGATTGGTTTCACCAATGAAAAAATGTATTATTATATGGTGGGGTCTTGTAATTCTTAGATTGGGATGGTTAAATCAATTTCTCTTCATCAACCATTCCAATTGTATAAATTGATTGAAAAAATGCTATCTGATAAAGTAGGAAACTGCTGCCAGAAAAGGACAGCTAAAATTTATAGGACATAGTGAGGAAAAAGAATTGGAGAATTTGACACTCGCAGGTAGGCAAGAGAAGCAGTTAATAACATTAAACTTATTATATATTTTTTTATATAAACAAGCATTCTTTTAAAGCCAAGATCATAAGTAGAATGATAATGACCACCTTGGAAGATGTCAGGTTTTAACAGATGAATTCATAAGACTACTTCGATTTCAAGTTATTTCAACAATCAAATGCATATCGTGATTTTTCTGAGTCACGTGTAACGTCGAAACTTTCATTTGATCTTCCATAAAACCATCGGGATTTGAATGGCGTCTGTTTGCTTGAAATAATCTTTTATGACATCACTTTTAAACCCAAAAGAGAAATACTTCCTTGCTTAAAAACATGTAAAAATAATCTCACATAATTTATTAAGGCATCACTTCTGTAAAAACAAACAAACAAGCAAAAGAAAAAAAAAACGTTTTCCTTGAAAATGATTACAAATACAGAAAAAAGAGAAACGTTCAGCTGACAAGTGATATTTTCATATCGTTCTGCTATTAAAGATGTGCGTGTAGGGGAAAGGTTAGTGGATCAGAAAGAGAAATCACTGAGTTCATTTTGAATTCTGGCCGTGTTTATTGCATTCACTTTCACGCGAATATTTTTGGGAATGGTATGAATCCATTTCTACTCTCACTAGCTATTGGTTAAATGGTGGTATATGTAGCCTTGGTTGGCAACCAGTCTGGGAGAAGGACAATTTTAGTATCAAAACCGTGTGTTGCCTATACAGCAACTGTTCACAATTAAGTTCGGTTCCGAGTACTGGAATCTGAACTCGACGAAAATACTATTAACTTGAGGTAAAATGGATTGGCGTAATGGTTATTAGTATGAAAAAAATGAACTTTAAGGTTGTTTACGTTCACTTTCCATTTTTTCTTTTTATGATCCATGTCTTTTTAGAATGTGGGCTATTATGGTCTGTCTTGTTTTTTCATTGATTACTTATTGGATTAAAACTTTGGTTCGGCAATTTGGTGATATAGTAATTGTGAGTTCAAGCCATCGGCTGGATCGCATAGTTTTAAACTCGGAAACAACGCAGCTAATAACTTAGCAGTACTAAATAAAATCAAGACGATATATCCCTAAAAACATTGACAGCAGAACGAAAAAATTCTGCTCCATTAGATTGAATAAAGGTGTTGTGTTACCACAGTACAGAAACTGTATCATTTTACTCCTCTTTGTCCCTTTTGTAGTTTAGGTACCTTTTAGATTGGTCACCATTTTGACCACTTCCGGTTAGCCCTTTTCATATCATGGGAACCCCTCAAAATAAAGAAATGACACCAAGAACGTGGTTACGATCACCGGTTTGCAACTTTTAATACAGTTTCTCTTTATATTTACCGATTTTATTATCACGTTATTATTTGAATATTTTTTTTTATGTAGCCATATTTCAAACGTTTA